GCTGCAGGAAACCTGCTGGAAGGGCTTGACCTTCTTTAGTGATTCTTAATTAACCCTGTTTCGTCTTGACCTTTGCTGCTGACTCTTAATTAACGCTGCAACAGCTTGACCTTTGTTAGTGGCTGTTAATTAACCCACAGCTCCGTTGGGTCGCTTTCCTAGAACACCCCAGTCTGTCCCTTCTCCCACCGGCGGTTTTGGGAGTTTGCGTATTCCTGGGATTTAGCTTAATAGTTGTGTGGCAAAGGATGAGGCCACGTGCGCTTCTGTGTCCTAAAAACATTTTCTTCCGGCCTCTTGTTGGCACTGAACAAACCCCCCCGGTTCGGGGGGGCGTTCGGGGGCTGGAGCAGCGCCGGGTCCGGCTGTAATGGGAGCAGGGTCAGGTCTGGCTTCAGCCCGTCCCCGAGGTTTGTTTGGTCGGTGGCGGGGCCGGGTTGTCCCCGGGCAGCCCCTTCTCCTCCTTCTGGTGCAGCCCGGGCTGGGCAAAGGGGTGTGTGCGGGTGCTGCGGGTTGGGGCTGGTCCCGGTGTGCTGGGGCAAAGGTGAACGCAGGGAGGGAGCGGTAGGGCTGTCCCTAAATTCCTGGAGCCGCAGGGCTGTCCTTAACCTCCCGCTGGAGTTGCAGGGCTGTCCTTAACGCCCTCCTGGAGCTGCTCTGGTGTGCACGGAGCAAATGGCTTTGGAAAGACAGATTCGGGGCTCGAAGGCGGGAGAAAGGCAGGTGTGCTGTGCCGGGAGCCCTGCGGGATGTGGGGGAACAGCTCCAGCCCGGGGTGAGCGTGTGGTGCAGTGTCCCCTGAGTGCCCACTCCTGCAGCCCGTGCCCTGTGTCCCTGCCCGTGGGGCGGGCGGGTCCCGGCAGTGCCACCCCCGTGCCCCGCCCCGGCAGCAGCTTCTCCTGCTCGTGGGGCTGCTGAGCAGGACCCAGCTCAGGCTCAGCCCCACCAGGGCCCACCCGTCCCTGCTCTTATCTCCTCCCTGCCATCCCCCCACGCGCCCATCCCCTCCTTGCCCGGAGAGGGCAGTTTCTGGAGCTGTGGCCTCTATCTGTCCCGTACAGTCAGGTGCCTCTGGTCCCACCCGGCCCCCCTCCCCTTTGGTCCCCCGGGATTAACTGTTCGGAGCATTTTTCGGATTCTCGAGGTGGGTTTTGTTCACTGAGCCCTTTGTTTGCCGTGGCTCTCCGGAGCCAGGCACCGTGGGGAGCTGCCAGCTCAGCTTCACCCGAGGGCTGTCCCCTTCCCTGGAGCGAGGACTGGCGGGGCAGCTTTCCAAGGGCTAAAAATGACCTGCCAAGGGATGCCACGGCGCTGCCAGCGTGCCTGTCAGCTGTTCTGCATTCCCCACAAGCACCACCTGAGTTTTTTATCCAGTGGTTTTATCCGTGTAACCCAGAGGGGCCTTTCCCCATCCCCAGAAGTGATTCCTCGGGGCACAAGAGGCTCAATTCCAGCCCTGGGCAATGCAGTGCCCCCTGTTCCAAGTGCCCTGGGCACTGGGGGGATCTGACACAGACTGAGTTTGGCTCAGTAGTAGAATATCTGAAGGGCCTTGAGTGTGGAAAATAGGTGAACACCTCACATTAAAGGTTTTCCCCTAGAAAAAAATGAGCCATCTCCTGCACAGCTCCATTGCTGCCTGGTGTTGTGGGTGCCCTGGACTCTGTCCTGGGATGCTCTGAGCTGTGCCTGAGTAGTGCCTGTTCTCTAGAGAGCTGGGTACAGGCAGGGGGTCAGTGAGGTTCATTGCCTGGGGAATCCCTCCTGGAATGGGACTGGAGACCACGGGGCTGCTCCCCTGAAATGAGTCCCATCCTCCTGCCACTCTGTCTCCCTGGGGAAGACCTGCCCTGCCCAGGGGTAGTCACAGGACTCCACTTGCTCTTTCAGAGCCCATTTCAGCTCTCCCCCTGCCCACGTCCCAAAAATCCCACGTTCTCCAGTAGGGCCTCTGCTCTGTCTTCCTGGGCACCCCAGCCCCTCAGCACAGGGGGTTTGGGGGATGTGGGCCTGTGTGTGGGTCCTCCAAGCTGCTCTGCACAAACAGCCTGTTGTTGGGACTGTGCTTTCCAGGGCTGTGCAGCTGCTCCCTCTGTGCTGCAGCCAAAGAAATGCCTCGTCCCAGGAGAGCCGCCTTCCCACGGCCCCTTCCATCACACCCACCAGCAACACATGTGAGAATTTAATGCTCATGGGCACGTAAATCTTAGTGGTCTGATCACAGAATTATTACTAAACTGTTGGAGAAGAAGAAAATATTGCTGCAGAAGAACTTTCAACGACAACAGAGCTAATGATTGATTTATGTGTGTTCAGTACCTGCTCTCTGTTACCTCGGAAATCAGTTTTGCCCAAGTCCCCAGTTTTCTTTACCCAGCAGTAAGAGGCTGCTGGAGTTGTGTGACTGGGGGGTTTAGAGCCCTGGTGTCCTCAGGATGATCCTGCCCCTCTCTCATGCAGTGCCCCCGCTCTTCTGTAACTGCCCTCACACTGTGGCCATAAATATGTTGTGCCTCGTGGAATGGTTTGGGTTGGAAGGGACGTGAAAGATCACTGAGTTCCAGCACAGAGCAGCTCTGCACTCCTCTGCATACAAAAACTTTATCACAGAGTTACTCAGAACTGAGGAAGAGTAAAATGAGTGAACAATGACCCTCTGGGTGCTCGGGCAGAGGAGCTTCTGGAGGGTGAAGGTGGTCCTGCTGTGGGAGGACCTGGTGGCTGCAACTGGGGGGGTTCCTGCACAGAACTGGGGGGTTTTGCAGGGAGGAGTCTCTGTCAGCCCTGTTTATGGGAAGGGCTGTTCAGTGACTGTTGAGGGGGGTCCTGCAGCACCCACCAGGCACAGGGGAGGTGGGATGGAGCTGGAGGGGCTGCAAGGGCCCAGGACAGGGACAGTCCTGGATCTCAGCCCCCTCCTCAGCAGTTTTCCAGGACCCTGCCGGGTTCTTCTGGTGTTGCAGAGCCTCCTTGCCCAGCCTCCAGCAGAGCCACCATGCAGGCAGACTCTGTCCTCCACAGCGGGTACTTCCACCCGGTGCTGCGCTCCTGGCAGTGCTCAGCTACCACCTTTGACGCCTCCAACCTCATCTACCCCATCTTTGTGACGTGAGTGAGCCCTGGCTCTCGGGGTCGGGGTGGACATGGCACAGGGTGACTGGCTGGGTCCATCCCAGGAGCTCCTCAGTAGGTTCAGAGTCCCTGTGCTCAAGCCTGGGAGAGGGGCCTCCTTCTCACACCGAGTCCTCACACCTCTGTCCCCTCCACCTCCCACAGTGACAGCCCTGATGCCGTGGAGCCCATCCCCAGCCTCCCTGGACAAGCCAGGTACGAATCCAACCCCACTGAGCCACGTGCTGGTGGCTGCTGGGATTTATGGCATGAGATGAGCATGAGCCAGGGGCGATGCTTCCAACCCTCTGCTACCTGCCCTGGGGATTCCCTGGCATCAGGCAGGGCAGGGACATTCAAAGGGAGGGGAGGGAATCGTGCTGGGAAGGCTGGAGAAGCAGCAGTACTGGGAGGGCAGCACCAGGGGCTCAGGCTGTCCCAGAGCACCCACACGTTGTGTGGGTTGGAAGCAAATGGGGTTTCCAGCAGCAGCCACAAAACCTGTGCAAGGATATGGGCTGTGCTCCTGCTCTGGATCCTGCTGGACTGGCAGCTCCTGTCTCCATCTGCTGCCACACTGGCAGGGCTCTGCTCAGAGAGGCCCAGGGGGGTGGGCTGGATCTGCAACAGGGAGGCCGAGATAAGGAATCCAAGGGCAGGGCACGCTTCTCCTTTCAGAGCAGTGTCCGTGCTGGGCCCCAGATAAGGGCCCAGATTGTTCCTCCCAGTGTTCAGGCACCACCTCCCCTGTACCTCCAGCTGCTGCCTGGTGATGCTGGATCGCTCACAGGGCAGCATCCCAGGCACAGGCAGCTCTTCCCAGGAGCAGGTGTGGGTGCCTGGCAGCTCCCTTCCCTTTGCCCTGCTCAGGTATGGAGTGAACAAGCTCGAGGGGATGCTGCAGCCCCTCGTCGAAGACGGCCTGAAGTGTGTGCTCATCTTCGGGGTGCCCAGCAAGGTCCACAAGGTCAGTGCCTGGTGGTGAGGGGGGCTTAGGGCAGCCACAGAGCTGTGGGAGAGCAGTGTGGGGCTGATCACAGGGTCTCTGGCTGAACTTACAGCCCACTCAGCAGAGCACGTGGGGATGGGAGACTGCAGTGACACCCAAAAAAGCCTCCAGAGCTCTGCAGGTGGCCCCAGGACCTGCACTCACTGCCCAGAAGTGCTTCTCCATCACCCTTTTCCCTCGGTGGTGGTGACACCATCCTGCCTTAGAGGATGTTTCCTGGGAGATGTTTCCTGGGCAGAGCTGCTGGCACGGAGGAGCCCGGGGGAAGTGTGGGCTGCGTGTGCTGAGGTGTTTGTGTCCCCACAGGATGAGAGAGGCTCTGCTGCTGATGCCGAGGGCACTCCTGCCATCCAGGCCATCAGGAGGATCCGCTCCACCTTCCCAGAGCTGCTCATTGCCTGTGATGTTTGCTTGTGCCCTTACACCTCGCACGGGCACTGCGGTGAGCACGGCCCGTGGGCCTGGCCTGCACTCACTCCTGGTGTTTTCCTGGCTCTGGGAGTCTCCAGAGATTTACCATTTTCTGCTGAGGGGCTCCGTGTGCTGGTGGGGCCTGGCCAGCTCCTGCCCCTAGATCTGGCTTCCCATTCCTGGTGTAGGAAGCTGGGAGGCCTCTCCTGGCTTTGGACAGCAGGGTGGGAGGCACAGGTGGTTCAGGCCCTCACTGTGGTCATCTGAGTCTGTCTTCCCTTCCCTGGAGCATCCACACCCTGGAGGGCTCCTTACCCAGCTCCATGAACACATTCCTCACTGCTGCTCTGGGCATCTCCACAGCTTGTCCCCAGAGCCACACTCCCCTGGGGACTGAGGCCCCTGCTGGCCCT